CCCCTTTTTTTTTTTTTTTTTTTTTTTTACAAGGGTGCTGAGAGTCAGACACTAGCCCTCACACTTACATTGCAAATGCTCCCATCTACTGAGCCATCTTGCCAGACTTTAGGTTTTGAAGAAGCTGGTGAGTCCAATTTGGGGGAACAATATCTAAGTCCATTTGCTCTGCCTCAGATTTATTTTTACAGAAAATAAGCTAATTTATTTGCTTCATAATAAACTACATTTTGCTTCAGGAGAGAAGCAGGATGGGAAGAGGGAAGGAAGAGGAAGCCAAGGTGGCAGCTATTCTGAATAAGTTGCCCTGCCTGGACCAGCGGCCTCATAAAACCTGAGAGCTTGTTAGAAGACTAACTCTCTGGCCCATCCCAGTCACCTGCACAAGAGCGGTGGTGTCTGTCTGGGCCGGGCCCAGCAGTTTGTTTTTTAACAAATCTTCTGTGATTCTGATGCCCACTCAAGTTCAAGGGTCCCCATGGTAAATATCCAAATTCACCACCACACCACCATAGAATGTTTTCTGAGATCCTGAGAACTGTGTGGATGGTGATTTGAGGAGGACTGTGGAGAGGCACCTGTAAGGAGGTGACACTACCAGTGGGTTAGTGGAGTAAGAGAGGAGAGGAAGGAGGAGGAGGAGGAGGAGGAGGTACAAGAGGAAAAGAAGGGGGATGCTACACCTCCATGACAGGTTGAAATCTGTGGGTCACATGATCCCCAGGGCAGACCCAGGTGGGCATGTTTTCCTTGCTTGAAGGCAGGCCTGAGAACCGAGGAAGGGAGGCAGCCACTTAGAGGCCCACTGACGTGGCAGTTGACAAGTGACGGCACTGGGCTTGAAGCCCTGAAAGGAAAGGAACACAGTCCTGTCTTAAATTCTGTGTGCTGGGGGGGGGGTGGCATGTGGGAGTGGGGCACATTCCAGAAACGAGAAAGAAGGGAGCCCAAGGGAAGAAAGGACGGGAAAGCATGTCTGAGGATGTGGGGCACTACACAAGAGTGCTTCCTTAGTCTCCGTCCTCATAATGTGCCCCCAAATGTACACACTATGTGGCGGGGGGTTTCTCAAGTCCTCTCATCCCAGCACCATGTCATCTACTGGCAGGTGATACCCAGGTCCCTGCTTCCACAGCTTTTGATATGCGACCTCAGGGACCCACCAAAACTGTGGTATGAGGAACAAGTTTGGCAGATTGTTCTTGTGTAGCCTTTTCTGAGTTTCATTTCTGTTATGATAATAAAATACCTCGACAAAAGGCAACTTAGGAGGAAAGGGGGCTTATTTCAGTCACAATTCCAGGTTACAGTCCATCATGTCGGGGAAGCCACTTAAACATCTGGTCACAAGGCACACACAGTTAAGAGCAGTGAGATGTGAACACACTGCATGCCTAGAGCTCAGCTTGCGCTCTCCGGGCACACACCCATGCTCAGTCTCCTTCCAAAGCAGGCACCCCCCAGTCCTTCTCTACCTCTGTCTGGGGATGAGACAGCTTTCTCTTCAATGCACTTGGTTAGAGCTGAATGTGGTGGTATGCACCTGCCCTCCCAGTACTGAAGCTGAGCATGGAAGGCTGGGAGCCCAAGGCCAGCACTAGCTATGCAGAAACCCACTGTCAAAAACAAACCCCAAACCAAAACAACAGTGGCCAAACCCTTGACAGCAAACAGCAGGTCGTGGCTGGTTGGAATCAGAGGAGTGTCAAGATGTGTGGGAACAAAGGGCCAAAGCTAAGTTCTTTATGAAGTCCTTCCCCATTCACAGACGCTTTGCTGAGAGCCAGCCACGTACACCTGCTCAAGACACAGCCAGCGAAGTTTATCGCCACTTAGTCAAAGTTTATTGCCACTTAGTTATGGGTCTCAGCCCACTCAGGCATCCATAGATTTACATTCCTGGCTTGCTTGCCCCAGAGTTCAGATACAGGTAGTCTCAACCAGATTTTGGACTGTGCTGTGTTGTGCCTCCCACCTCACCCTGAGACAGGGTTTCTCTGTGTAACAGCCTTGGCTGTCCTGGAACTCACTGTGTATACAAGGCTGGCCTCAAACTCACAGAGATCCACCTGCCTCTGCCTCCCCAGTGTTGGGATTAATGGCGTGCGCTGCAACCACCACCTGACTTGTGCTGGGTTTTCTTTTCCTCTCTCTCTCTCTCTCTCTCTCTCTCTCTCTCTCTCTCACTCTCTCTCTCTCCCTTACCTGCATGAACCTATGTTCTAGAAACTTCTTTGTTCAGGTCATAAATAATTGTTTTTCTTTTTGAGACAGGGTTTTGCTATCCAGCCTAAAGTTGGTTTAAAACTCACAATGATCCTCCTGCCTCTGCTAATGACTGTGGTTCCTAAGGGATGTCATGGCACAATTGCTAGGACAAAATGGACTTTACCCCAAGACACTTGATGATTCATGAAAGGAGGGAAGACAAACAAGCTGGAAAAGGGTACAAGTTCCAGAATGTCTGCCATGGTGTCTCCAGGAGCAAAAAACTGGAAAATACCAGTATGGCATACCTGTCTACAGAGGAGAGGACAAATGGACTATTCCTGAGGAATATCACACAGCTATGGAAAGTGATTGACAAACATGAACATAATTTTTCATAATTCTGCTACATGCAGAATAAAATAGTCTGACCACATCATTATGAAATCAAACAGAACAATAAACTCCCCTGTCTATATATACTATGAGCAAAGATCAAAATGTTTGTGCTCGCTGCTTGGGCAGAGCTTGGATTTGAGCGTGTGGGGAGGTGGGATGGATGGCTGCCGCCCCCCTCCCATCCCAATCCAAATGTGAAGAGAAGAACTTGCCTCATCTTTCCTTCTCTTTAAACACTTTCAATATCAACGTCACTTATGATTCCACTGATCTCTCTAACCAGTCCAACTGGATTCCAACTGTCTGTTCCTGAATAGGAGTGTGCCATCTTCAGTGTGGAGTATGAAATACAAGTAGAGAGTGTGTTGGTCATGCTTGCTGGATTTATCTAGTAAAAACTATTCAAAGTGCTAGTCCAAGGACCTTCACCTACCATTAATAAAATACTAAAGCCCTTCCCTCCTCCTCTGTGAGACATGGACCCCTGTCCATAGGAGGATGCAGGGGTAAAGAGTCACGTGCTTCGTCCTGCTTTCTACTGGCTATGTGACTTTAGCCAAGTGCTCTCCTAAGAGTCAGTCCAGGTGACATAGTGGGAGACCTCCATAAAACCATTCTGG